ATGTGATAAAATTTAATTATTTTCCGTTCCTAATTTTGAAAATAATGTGCATAAATAGGTTAAGCAAGTTGTACAAATTGCCTTTTTTTTTTCTTTTAAAAAGAGATATACCATCTTATCTTAAAAATTTGCAAGCTAAAACTTAAATGACAATTCTTATGATATTATATTACATGACAGATAAGACACCAATGACAATTGCTAGAGAAAGTGTTACAAATAATAGAGTAAGTATTCATGAAAATTTTAAAAGTTTATATTAAGTTTATTTGATTTGAAAATTTAGAAAATGGTTCAATGATTAAGAAATTGATAGTTTAGAATAAGTACATTAGAATCAAAGAAAGAAGTTAAACAAGGAGGAATCACATTGCAAATTTGATCTCCTAAAGAGATAGCATATATAACATTATGATTTGCAACATGAAGAAAAGCATGATGCTTAAAGCAAACACACAAGTTTTGAAAATGCTAACCATGCTTCTTGCAATCTTTGATAATTTCAGCTAAATAAGTTTGCAAATTAAAATTTAAATTCTATTTATTAATGAATACCAGAGTCCGTAAAAATAATGACTGTATTATTCCGTTATTGATTAGAAGATAAGGAAACACTATTTGCATAATGCTTCTGCAGTATATGCGCATTTAAGGGGTTCTTGGAAGTGAAATTGTCTCTTCACTTATGATGAACACAAAATGGTCGTTAGTGACGACAAATCCCAGCCCAATGCTACAATCCTACTGATATCAGGCATTAACAAATACAAAAATAGCATTTGGATTGCCTACAGAGGGTGGTGGCAGCAAACATAAATCTGACAGCTTCATAGGAAATAGATACCTGGATATAAGCTGCCACACAACATCCTTTGTTCAGGGAATGACATTGATGACCTAATTTTTTCCAAGAAATAGACACAATACTAGCAAGTTTGAAAGTCCAATAGTGAAGTGTTGTCTATTTATAATAAAAAGGTATTTTGATCTCACTGAATAACACTCATCCTTAGTAAGACACAAAATAAAAGAGTTAGACAAATCCATTCGTCTCAAAAGGATTTTAAAAATCTTCGCGATCTCAGTAATTAAAAAAACATGGAAGATGGTATGCTTATCTCAACTCATAGTATCAAATTAATATGGTCCTTGACAAAAGAAAGTTGGCCTTGCCACTTTTGATGAGAGTGGAGAAAACCATTTGGAAGAGACATGCGCCAACAATCATCCCATATGTCAATATTACAGCCATTACCAATTCTTTAGAAGCCACTCTCGGTAATGACCTACTTAGCTTCAAAGATGATAGACCATGAATAGCTTGGATTGTGACCCTTTGGAGCATTAAGAAGAGAAGAATCAGAAAAATACTTAGTTTTAAGAACTTTATAGGCTAAGGAATCTTTATTATGCATAAGTTTAAGGAAAAGTTAAGTAACAACTTTGATATCAAAAATCTATAATAAAATTAACAAAAATGTGAGTAAAAAGTAAAACAATTACACTAAGAGAGTATAATTCACACATCATTCTCAATCGAGCTTAGTCCTAAAATGTATATGAATTGTGAAAGGGAGTAGCTTCACTCAACAATTCATTTTCTAAATGTTAGATTATTGTTTATAATATAAAAGTTAATATATTTTTTAAATTGCTAAATTAACAAAGATAAAAATAATCATGACTTAACTTGTTTTATATACTTCCCTAATTAAGGAAAGAGAAAAAATAATAATATATTATATTATAGTTTGTTAAGTAGACAAATTTACTCAATTTTAACATGTGTTAAGCAGAGAAATCATCACTCATTAATTCAAATTTGATCTTACAACTTTTTGTGATTTTAACAGGTATAACAATTTTAGTAAAAATTAAAAATATTATTTTAGAAAAGATATAACTTACATGTTACCTTTATTCATTATAAATCAATGCACATTCAAGCAATTAAATGTTATCATTGACTTTTGAGATTTTTAACTAGTAAGGTCTCTTCCTCTTCTATTGATTTATTTTCTTCTATGACATCTTTTTTCTTTCCTATAGCTATTAAGATTTTGGTAAGCGTACTAAGTTTTCATTTTAGTAAAAGAGTAAAGGTTATCGTATTTACAGAGATTGGTAGATATATTTGTAAGTTCTATTATTCTAATTAAAACTCTTAACAACAAATATTGATGTTTGCACAAATGTTTAAGGGATTGAGAAATTCAAGTGTTAAAATTAACTACAATATAAAAATATCAAGGTTTGTACTAGGATTAAATTTCATCATTCATTTTCTTCCTTATTCTAATTATTTAATATAAAGAAATATTTCCTATAGAAGTAGATGCATACCTATATTTTTCTTTGAGTATTCCTTGAATAACGATTCCTCAATTATTTAATGAATCTTTCAGCATTAAAATTAAGTATCAAAGAGATCACCTAATCCGAAACTAAATATTGTTTTCCAGCTAATTCATAGATCCTAAATCAATATACTATTGATTAAAAATAATCAAGCCTTAAAAATAGAATGAAATCACCAATATTTATAGAAATGAAAATTATATATAAATCATCAAAATAGATATGAATTGAAGATTATATATAATCCCAAAGAGAGTTTAGTACCTATAGTAACTATTACAACAAAATAATGAGATAAAATAAATGAAGATTGATGTCCAATGCTTCTTTTCCTAGCTTTTTCTTCTCTACCTCCTTTTCCCGCTCTTTATGTTTTTCTTTCTTTAAGGGCGATTTAATGAATTCTCACTTGAGTTAAAATGAGATTTTTGCTTAAGTTAAAAATTATCGCTTTAACTAAAATCAGACAAATTTCAATTTTTGTTTATTCATTTCATTCAAATGAGTAATTTTTTGCTTAAACAAAAATTTGGCTGATTCACTTCCTTTCTTTTTTCCTTGCCTTCCTTTCTCTTTAAGTTCCTATAAAATAAAGAATTCAACAAAAATTTGATTAAGAAAAATCTTCATCTCTATATTTAAATCGAAATAATTGATTAATTCAAAATTTTCTAAATTAAAAAGGGAATTGAAACTCAAATTAATTCATTAAAGAAAATAAGTTCCCTAATTCATGTTACATATTACGAAAACACTTATCATCAGCCACTACAACAATAGTGTTCACCTTCCAATAACTCTTCAAAACCTCTCACAATTTGCTTTGTAATGTTGCACCTCCCTACAATAAAATGCTAACTTCTCACTCCTATGTGCATCTTCCATTTTCACCTCTCCTTCCCTCATTTTCACCTTTTTTAATGCCCTGCAACTTTTTATTACCACTTATTCTGAATTTTTAAATTGATTTATCTTTTCTAAAGTGTGAGTGCAAAAATAGTAAAAACTAATGATTTTTAATTACTCTAAAGATCTAGAACGTCATTGCTAATATAGTTAGAGGAAGGAAATAAGATAAAACAAAGGAAGGAAGAAGCATATAAGAGTGAGAAGTTGACGTTCTATTATGGAGTGTTGCAACATTACATGTTAAGCAAATTGTGAAAAGTTTGACGGAATTGTTAGAAAATAATTATAATCAATATGGTGGTTGTATCAAGAAAAAAAGAAGTTATAGAATAAGAAGAGGTAAAAGAAGAAAAATGTCATGTCATTTTGTGTCTAAAATGAATTTTTATATATTAGACAAAATATTATTTTGTTATTCAATTTTAATGATAAAGACTAAATTGATACACAATTGTTAATATTAGGGACTAATATTAAAAATTTTAATTTTAGAAGATTAATTTGAACGATATTGCATATTTATGAAATTTAAGTGAATATTTATTTGTTGTAATTTGTTTAATAATTTGCTTACTACCTTTCATGCTCATAGACATTATATCAACTTATTAAAATGAATTTAATTAAAATTTTCATTAAAAAATTTAATTTTTTATAATTTTTTAAAAAACTTGTAAAACACATTAAAAATAATTATTAAATTATCATAATTTATTTTTGTATATCTAAAACAAATTTTATAAAAAGAACATCAATGCAACAATTATCTATTATATCAACATAGATACTAAGAGACAAAAGTTAGAGAAAATATTCTAACAGTATTAAACTGGAAGTAATAAATATAATGCGTCCAGTATCAATGAAATGTTGTAACTAACATATTAAGTATTATGTGAGTTTTTTAATTTTAATTACTAATTTAAAAATAAATTACTAAAATATACGGGTATAATTTTTATTTTAAAAACAGTTTTCTGTTTTTAAAAATAAAATATAATATAAATTTTAATTAAATTTTATTTTTAAAAATAAAAAAACTAATTTTAAAAGTGAAACAAATACTCCCTAAATATTTCAAAATAAATTTTGTATTTGAGTTTTTTTTGTCGTTTGTTTTATGCCTCCTTGGTGATGAAATTTGAAAAATAGTACCAAAATCTCTTATGTTTCGCCATCTTTATGATAATTTTTTAAAAATAAATAATGCCATCAAATTATGAAACTTAAAAATTTTGGTACATGAAAATCATGCCAACGGGCTTACGACATGTGGCAAAATTGAAAAAAATGGAGAGTAACGCAGACATGCATGCAGGAGAATAAAGTGATTTATTTCGATATAAAGAAAAGAACCTTATTAGAGAGTGATATGTCGTGGCTTCTCAGTCTTCTCTTGAAAGGGTTTGTGTATTTGAGAACCTGAACAATTTTAAAAGAAATTTTGTATTTGTAAAATAATTTTTTGTATTGAAACTTATAAAATATAAATTAAATTGATCTAAGCCCTATTTCATCGAGTTAACAATTTTAAGGGTGGGTTATGGACCCTGATTAAAAAATAGAGATGTCTCCATTGCGGGCTGGCTTCCCAAGACACGGCAAGCATCAATTTGGAATTTGGATCCATAGTCACCGGTTCGGGTCGGTTCGGTTCAGTTCGGGTCGGGTTCGGTTCAGTCCAATACCAACACAAGACAACACAAAAACGCCTTCGTTTTCACCTTCGCCTTCTCCGTGCGCCTCCTCTGTTCTCTGTTCCTGTGGATAGAGCGAGAGAGAGAGAGAGAGAGAGAGAGAGAGAGAGACCGGAGATCCTCCTCTCATACCATCCACTCCACCGAACTCGCACTCGCTCTCAATCACGATTCCCTCTCACTTTTCAGGTACTCTTCCTTTTTCTATTTTCGATTTCCGATTCCAACAATTGAATTAGGTTAAGGAGAAGAAGAATAGATCGCAACTCAAGAATGAAAGGGCGATCGCACCGCCCTCAGAGTTCCGACCCTCCCGACGAATGGGGCGACGGTTCCTGGACCGTTGACTGCATCTGCGGCGTCAACTTCGACGACGGCGACGAGATGGTCAAATGCGACGAGTGCGGCGTCTGGGTCCACACGCGCTGCTCTCGCTACGTCAAGGGCGATGATACCTTCGCCTGCGACAAATGCAAGACCAAACACAGCAACACCGAGGAAACCGAGGTTGCCCAATTCCTCGTCGAACTCCCCACTAAAACCATCTCCTTGGACACCAACACCAATAACCGGTCCTTCCCCTCTCGCACGCGCCGCCCTGTCAGGCTATGGACCGATATACCCATGGAGGAGAGGGTCCACGTTCAGGGAATCCCTGGCGGTGACCCTTCTCTCTTTACAGGCTCTGGCGTGCCCTCTATTTTCAGCCCTCAGCTTTGGAAGTGCACCGGTTATGTTCCCAAGAAGTTTAATTTTCAGTATAGAGAGTTTCCTTCTTGGGCTGAGAACGAGGGTTCACAGGACAATGATAATAATGGGGCTGGTGTTCTTTTCTCTTTTTCTAAAGACACTAGTGCTCCTAATGTCTTGGCTTCCCCTGTTGCGGCTTTGGTTGATATGAGATCTAGTCATGCCCGTGATGCCAAGACTTGTTTTAAGGACGTGAGGAAGTTTGGGAGTGAAGATAATTTGCCGCCACGTGTCCATAATGCTATGAAGAAGGAGAGGAGCTTGCTCAGGCCTGTTGTTGTTCATTCCAGTAAGCGAAGGAAAGAGGAGTTTGGGAGTTCCAATTCCAGAGACCGGAGTGGGAAGAAGCGGGTTAAGACTTCTGACAGAGAGGTAGATCCCAAGAGGAGAAGTTCGCATTCTTCTAAAACAGGTTAATTGATTTGCTATTTTTTGCCTTACCCCTTCTTTTGTGCGTTCTGTATGCTATTTGCTGTTGTTAATTTTGGAGAGTTGGTCTTAGATTTGATATACCACTATCTCCGAGTTAATATGAGAAAAAGGATGATGAAATGTGGTTGATTAAGTGATCTCAGCTTAGTGATTGATTTTTCTGCCCGTACCTTCATCAAGATCTCCGTTTTAGTGATTCTTTCTCATTACTAGTATTTGACTCCTCTAAAGAGAGATGTGTGAAGTAAGGAAATAAAAATGTGTCTGCTGTTGGTTCAGATTTGGTTAAGTCTACCAGATAGTTTTGTTCAAATCAATGTTGGATACATCCTTACTTTCTCATTTTCTTTTTCATTTCCTTGCTTTCAGAGGAGTCAAATCTTTGTGACTAATACTATTGTTAATTTGTTGCTAGTTACTAGGAAAAAAGTTATCTCGATTCTTGTTTGTTTCTGCCCATGGGCGAACGTCATCAACTATGGCAGTGCTTCACATCTTGCCATACTTGACTTGCGCTTGTTGACTCCATCTTTTTTTTTCCCCTTCTTATTTTGGTTACTAGCGTTTACACCCACCAGTGATGCAAAACAATTGGACTTTTATGAGGACAGAGGTCTGAAGATTTTCAAGGCTGACTCTCGGAGCATAAAGAATAAAAACTTAGAAGAGATAGTGGTTCAAGAACACATTTCTAATGATTATTTTGCTGTGGATACCATCCTGGAGGAGCCAAATAACCACCCAACAACTACCGAGGACTCTTCAGAACCCTTGTATCCTGACATGTCAAGGCATAGTCTTTCTGTTGGAGATGTATTAGCAGAAGAGAAGACCAGTAATAAAGCTCCTGATTTGGTTGAGATGTCTTCCAAGACTGACGATGCTGTTACATCAGTTTTAAAGCGTAACTATCTTGGGAATGCTTCAGTTAAAGACAAGGTATGTATTATTACTGACATTTCCATAATCAAAGTTTGGCAAATCAAAATGTTATATTTTGTGATTACCTTATGTGTCAGTTAGTGATGCTTTGTTTGTGCCCATTCTGTGTTTAATATGGTTGCATCAATATTGGTTATGCTATGTAAGGTTCTTGTACTATTGCAACTGTTTGACTGCTTTTTTCTCAGCTCATGATGATAATCGTATAAAGGAAAAGGATTGTTGAGGGCTAAGACTGTGCATGATATAGTATGCTTAGTTTCTGAGGATAGTGAACTAAAAAGCAATAACTTTTTGAGAGCTCAAGATTTAAGACTATGCATGATGCAGTGTGCATTTCCTGATTTTTGTCTTCCACCCTGTTCGCTAACCTTGAGTGCAAAGAAGGTGGTGGAATTTTTAGAGGGATTAAGGGAGGATTTGTCAGGCAAGAATATGGGATACTTCAGATTATTTGCCAGAATCTGAAGATTTTATTTCTAGCATTCAAAATATTTTTACTAGGTTTATACGTGCATGACTTTAGGAATGATTTGTCTTTAGACTTTTGTTATCACACTGCATTGTGATGACATTTCTTGCTTCTACAAACAAGGACGGAGATTGCTTGAAAGCTGATAATGAAGATGATACTTCAATAGTAAGAAGCACTGCAAGTCCTCACACAGAAGGCCATTGTGTTTCTGCACCAGAACTTATGGATAACCAAGTTTCTCAAGATCTTGACAGAAATGTGCGTCCTAGCTCTGCGAAATGCAAAGTTAAGGTGAAAAGGGATGATGATGTTGATAGTTTTAGGAAGCCCTCAAATGTTCGTTCTTCTCCTATCAGTGACCTTAAAAATGAAAAACCATCTGATCACACGTCTGGTATTGTTAAAGGGAATGATACTCTGGTTCCCAGTTTACCATCGTGTGAAAATAAGGTGGGTGATGCTGATATTTCATCAGAAGTAGTCCCTGATGATCAAGCCCATAAACCCAATGAATCGTCTGGTGGTTTTTGTCATGGAAAACAAGAACTGGAGGGGTCTGAAGGTTCCTTGGAAACACAAAAGGGATTTTCAGAAATAAAAGATGGTTCAGATTCTGCTAAAGATACATCAAAGTCTGAAGCACTTGGATGTCCACCTAAAATGCTAGCATGTGTTGGAAAGTCATCTCCAACTTCATCAACCATGAACTCCAAGTCATTGGCTCATGACTTCAAATCTGAAGATACTGAATTCCCTAGTTCTTTTACAAAGCATGGAGTGATGGCTGATTGTAACATTCACATAAAGAATGAAAATTGTCCAAACGATGCTACCAGAGACGAAAATCCAAAGAAGTCTGTGAGAGAGCGACCAAAATCCTCTTTGAATTCCAATTCAAAAGGATTGCATTCAAACAGGAGTACACAAAATTCTGTCTCAAAGCATGTAAATTCAGATACGAGAGATTCTGTTCATGGGTCGTCTTCTAAATCTTTGGTACATCAGACTGCAAGTATTTTAGGCTCCAGTGAGACTAATGCATCTTTGCACCATCAAAAGGCTTTACAAGTGCAGAATAAGATTTCATCTTCAGCACCACAGAAAGTTGAAAAACTTAACCAAACAAATATCCATACTTCCTCTAAGTTGAACCAGAGTCATGTGCCTTCAGTGAATCCTTCTCCAACATCAAATTCTTCAATGCTGAGTGATGAAGAGGTCTGAGCTGGACTTCTAGTTAATTAAGTCTTGGAAAAGTTTCTCTACATAATATCCTTCTTGTGCTTTTTTTTCCCATTAATTTTCCTTGTGTGTTTTTGCTTGCAGCTTGCTCTGCTATTGCATCAAGAACTGAATAGTTCGCCTCGTGTACCTCGTGTACCCCGAGCTCGCCATGCAGGTAGCTTGCCACAGTTGACTTCTGCTAGTGCTACAAGCATGCTAATGAAGCGAACAACATCAGGTGGAGGAAAGGATCACTACTTGGTAGGATTTTGTGCCAACAAATGAAATTGATAAATATGGCTTCGAACACTGGTTTTGTTCTTAGAATTTTTGCAAGCTTTCACAATAAAGATGGTCAATTTGGTTCTGTAGTGGTGACTAATTCTGTTATAAGTTGCACAGGTATCTAGACGAAAATACAAGGATGCATCTAGAGATGGGTCTGGAAATTCTCGGGAACTTGAAGATGAAGCCAAAAAGATAGAGAAAGAGAAGGGTCCGTCCTCTTCTGATCAGAGGAAACAAGATATGGCATATGTGGAAGATGCTCCAGCAAAGGAAGAAGTTCTTGCATCTATGACAGCTGCAAACTCTGTCACAAACAATGCTGTTTCTTCTACCTCTGCAATTGCAAACAGTGATCCGTCCTCCCCTCCTGAGGATCAGAATTTGTCATCTATACGTAACTCACCCAGGAATATATCTGACGACGATACAGAAACTGCTGGAAGGCCAGTTCATCGCACCTTACCTGGTAGCTTCCTGTCAGGGAAATAATGACTGCTCTTTTTGTGCTTGTTTTGATTTTTAAATCATGATGCTTTCGTCTGTTATCTGATATCTTGACTAGATATAGTATCAATTCGTTTTGGTTAATAAAACTATGATTTTAGAAAATTTTGATAGATGGGATTTTAAATCATGTTGTATTCCTTTGTTATCTAATATGTAGCAGATATAGAAACCGTACATCCATGTAGGTCTGAGCATAATCAGCTTTTGTAAGTTTTAGGGAGGCACACTGAATATATGAGTTGAACTTTTAATTTTTTGCTATAACATAAAACAAAAAGGAAAATAACTGGTGGGTCTAGCGGGCAGTTTGTGGATATTGCCTTAAACTCTTACTATACATATATATCCAAATGCAGGTTTAATCAATGATATTATGAGCAAAGGCAAGCGTATGACGTATGAAGAACTCTGTAATGCTGTGCTACCGGTATGATTCTTTGTTAGTGTTTGTGTTTTGTACTTTTAATATTTTATTGCCATGTGTTGAAATAAGTTGTCTGTGAACCTGTTTGTTTTTCTTTTGTTGCTGTCACAGCACTGGCATAACTTGAGGAAGCATAATGGAGAGCGTTATGCATACTCAAGTCACTCTCAGGCTGTTCTTGATTGTTTGAGGAACAGGCATGAATGGGCAAGGTTGGTTGACCGTGGTCCAAAGGTATGCTGATTTAGTTGTCATAATCCCTCTTCAACCATCTATTACTGATTGAATCACAGTGAAGATTTCATTTTCAAAAACCCACCAAATTAATGAGGATTGAATTAATTTTTTGTGACTTACCAAATTATCCTATTGAATTTTCTAAAGTATTGTGTTACATTTATTTCTAACTAATCGGAATCTTGGTGGCATTTGTTTTTATTATTACCACATGAAGAAGCATGTGGCTTTAGCAACAGATATACTACCTTAAACTATATATGTCTGCAATGTGTAACATTCCATGTGATTCTGTGAAACCAAGTTGAAGATCTGTGTTTCTCCATTGAATTTTAGGTCATTTTAGATAGGTCCTTTTGACATATTGCTATTGCTAAAAAAAAAATTTATTTTCTGAATTCAAGGTACCCAGGGTCAGCAAGAGTTTATATTTGTCATTTGTGCCTACTGGTGGTGAAATATCATGGGAAGTTGTAAAAATATAAAAATTAATTCAATTGCAATAATCTAAAGTGTGATCTTTTTATTCATTTAGTCATTCCTTTACAAGGTGGCCTGCTTTTATCTTTGTTTACTTTTGTGACGTTGCTGTTGTATGTACTACTGTCTAGACAGCTTTCAATCTGAACAATAGTCATTGTTTCAGACAAATTCGAATCGGAAAAGGCGTAAGCCAGATACTGAAGAATCTGATGATAATGGATATGGCAAGGGAAGAACTGCAAAAGAGGTTGACGGGAAGAACTTTGAGTTGCAAAAAGAAGAGTTCCCCAAAGGCAAGCGTAAAGCTCGGAAACGCAGGCGCCTTGCTCTTCAGGGAAGAGCAGTGAAGGATGTTAGGAAGAGACAAAAAGCTGACTCGCTAACTGACGAGGATGTCGGCCCATTCTCCAATTCTAGTGAAGAGAGCTTGTTTAGTGAAGAAGATGAAATTCAGGTTGGCAGAACATGTCCAGCAGGAAGTACTTCAGATGAGGCAGGCAGTGCTTAATAAGAGGTCGCCAAATATCTCAACAGTTTACTTCTGCAAGAATGTAGACTTCGTGGCTTGCAGTCTAGTGGGGGGATGGATTGCCGGTGCTTGTTACTTTGTATCAGTAATGTAAATATTTCTAGTAGTAAGTATGGTGTATTTTTTTCATGCACGAGGCAGAATTGAGTAGGTTATGTAGAATTTGTAAGTGGCTAAGGATTCCATTAGAGAGCAAAAAAGAATGTACAATTGGATTTGTTTTAGGAAACACTAACTTAGAAACTACCCACCTGGCATGCGATAATCTAGTTTTACAATTTACACTCTTGGTGGTGTTGAGAAATGGGTGTACAAGGACAAGCAACTGTGGTAGCTTTGCGAAGAAGAATGTATAGGATAGTTACTGATTGGCAGCTGTCATTGATTGGTGACTATAATAGCTGTTATTGTAGAACATTTAGGCTTCGCATTTCTTCCTCTTGCGGCTTCTCAAGTTTTAGCATTAAAACTGTGATCCAATTAATACACGATTAATTTGTTAAACATAATTTTATTTTATTCTTAGCAATTATGGTCCCAAAAATCTTCTAACCGTGTGAGCAATTGTTTTCTTCGATTACTTTTACTTGTACTGATAATTTTTATGACCGTACTGTCAGGAACGAAACGTGGAAGCGGGTCCAGCATGTGAACCGTTTGACGAAAAATTAACATTATTTTATCACAAAATGAGGGGCGGCTGAAAAGTAAATTGCAAGTTATTGGTAATTTTATGTTGACGTGATATTAATTCGACTTCTTTTTTTCTCCACCTTAACTATTACATTTAACACTAATGAAATGAACTTTTTAGTATATTATTTTTATCTTTTGAATCGGGATTCAAGGGCAGTTAATCAAATTAACTCCTTTTTTCTTTCTATTTTTTAATCCTGGGTAAATGCATTAATGTTCAAACCTTTGAGTTCTAAAGATATAAAGGAGCAATTATATTTTGGTTTTGGTTCTAAATATCTTGAATGTGAAATGTGTGACTTCTAAAATTCATAATTAGCTGTTGCAATAGGCGGTGCCCTTATATCATATTCCACCTGACTAATTTAATCAGTAAATTAATGACCTAGATTAATTCAGGCCGTTGAGCAGAAATGACAAACGGTGCATTTAATTGATTGCGGGATCTTAGCTTATTACAAACGGTGCATTTAATCTTATTTTAAATCATCAAGTCATGATCACATAGAAGTGAGTGCACTTATTTTGAAAATTTGTGTTTTTATCAAGTAAGATCCTTAGGATATGAAAAAGAAATTAATATATGAAATAAAATACAAATATTTAGCATTTTTAAAAAGTTATTTTTTTAACAAATGATAAATAATATTTATTAAATGATGTCTTCTTTTTAACGTGTCCTAACATGTAAATAAAACTTTTTTTTTAATTAAAGCTGTAAAAATGGGCAAAAATATTCATGGGTCAGCTCATTTTAATTGCATCTGCGTGGATGCTGAGCTTTTACCTTGCATGGGTCAGCTATTTATTTTGGAGAACCAATGTTTAATTCAAGCGATAAAGTGATTTTTTTTTAGAAAGCATGCAAGTGGAATGTGATTTTTACGAAGAGTCCAATATTTTCATATAACTCTTTATTACACTTGATTCATAGTTCTCTCTATTTGCCTTTTATCCGGGTGCAACTCGACCTCCCAATTTGAGGGTGGAATCCAATCATCCAAACTAGTGTTAAATAAACATTTCTCTTATAAGAAAAGATACAAACAACGTGAGTTGACAGAGGGAACATTTGAACAGAAATTTAATGTAATACTGCTGGACGTAAGTGCATTGGCACAACATGCAGCATTGTAGCTTAATTATCTAGTTGTTGGTTGTGCCCCAAATCTCCTCCAGCTCTCGAGCAAAAGCTTTCTGTCTTCCAACAACAATAGTTATGTGATCTTTGTTATCAATAACTCTAACATGGGCACGTGGAATTCTTCTTTGGACCTCGTAACTACATTCAACTGGGATCACCTCATCCTTTTTGCCATGAAATATGGTAACTTTACAGTTTGGATTTTCTCTTACAGCGTCCAAATATGATCCAATTTTTCCCGCGGTTCCACATATGATGTTGTGTAGGGTATGCCACGCTGCATTATGGGTATGACAAAAGAATCCTTCAAGCAAGAATGTCCTCACCCTGTTAGAAGAAGTTGAGAGTGTATTAATATCAAAGTTCACGTTAGCTAAAAAGTCTCCATCACCAACACACTTGAAATTAATCTCATTCATGACTAGCAAATCCAGAATCAATAATTAATGCATCCATAAAACCGTCTGATTCCATCTGCTACGCGCAGTTTCTGACATGTTTGACTTGTGCTCCCCAAGCAGTGGGGCAAGAATATTAAATTCAACATACATTATACCCAATATGGTTTATGTCAAACATTAAGAGAAGGAATACGAAAATGTTAAGGACGAAAATTTATGTTACATTATGGACGAAAACAAGTTTAGTTTGTTCTTCATATGCCCTTGAAGTCGATTTCACGATTTTGAGATATGGTAGAATATTAGAATGAAAGGATTCAAAGAGAATTCGTAGACATTATTTACTCTAAAGACTCAATTAGAACTATAGAATATATATGAAGGTATCTTAGAATTAAAATAAAAATTGAAATTTTTGAAAACCAAGTACTATTTGAAGATGTTTGGCCCTCAAATTACTCTTGAACTGAGAAGAAGATCCCCACTCTCTTTAAAATAAGATTGTGGTTTGAAGTACTCTTACGATCTCATGACATAGTGGTGTCGTCAGTCCCAATGTTATTTTGGTAAGATTTTGTTATCACGCGTATTTTTGTCGTATGTCAAGAAATTTTCAATATAATACTGAACAAAATAAGTATTTTTTAATATTTTTAGTATAAACACTTAACAATGGTGAATGATTATGAACGTATCTCTTAATAATACTTTTCTTAATCATTAATATCACTAGCAACTAATTTTCAACTAATTTTGAATATCCTATAATTGATTTTAATATATTAAAATATAAGGAAATTCCAAATATTTCAATTATCAGCTACAAAATTTCATCTATTTTTTTTTATCTTCTACAGTCACAAAATTAATTATTAATCATATAAAAAATAAACAGATATAAAAAAATATCTAAAAAAATTATTTACAATAGAATAGATTAAAATATAACATATATCTTTCAAAAGAATAAATTTATATTTTAACATAAAAAGGAAATATAATATAAATATCTATCGAGAAATGGAAATGTAATTTATTGATATAATTAATTCTTCAAAATTCAATATCACAGCTCCTTTGAACCTTTATGTTTTAATTTTCCTCCAATGTTTACCATAAAATTTTCTTTCATGTTTTGTTAAGGAAAGGAAGAGTTTCCAACGGCTGCAATACAACTTTACAAGAGTGTAAAAAATGAATTTAAGATACTTGCATAAATTAAAACTATATATAAACACAAACAAAATTATTTTAAAATAATTACAATATGACCAAGGTGTATAATCTAACAATTTGCTTGGAAGTGTATGAAAATTTGTGATTATAATTTTACCAAATATCATTCCTCAACATAAAAGAAAGATTTAATTTATCCCATTAAACCTATATAACTACGAACACGTATACATTCAAAAGATTACACGTAAAAAGTAAAGTAGCAAGTGTAGTTGAATAAATCAAGTTTCCTATTTACTCAAAATAAAATAATAAGTGTAAACATCCCGTTTCATAGGGTCAAAAATAGGCGAACTAAACATGGATGAAACAGAGCATGTTGGTAGTTGCGTGGTTGAGTGATCCAGAGGTTGGAAAGTGAAACGTATATATAGAGAGAAAAAAAAGAGAAGAGGTTACCTGTTTCGTGTGACAAGTTTGGTTAGAAATTCCCAGAGACGGTGGTTCTTGCAAATGAGCAAGCAAATAACCCGAGTTATGTGCTCATACCAGCACACCAACGACGCTCCAAATGCCATGGGTGGCCACACGCGCCTCGGAGCAACCTTCCTCATCACATATTGTGTTGCCTGTGCTTCACCCTTTGGCACTGGATAGAAGGGCTGTGCAATTTCATTCATTTTAGTAAATTCATTAACATAACATAACATAACAAATAATAATAATAATTGAGATGAAACATAAATATTAAATATGATTACTGGGGCAAGCAAAGTTAGCGACTTGACGGATTGAGGGTGTTTGACGGCAAGAGCAAGTGCTAAAATGCATCCTAAGGAATGGGCCACTATGTGGAAAGACTTCACCTTATGTGCCTCCAACACAGACCTCTCTATCATATCTAAGTGCTCTCTTAATGTGTATAGTGACTCGCTAGGCTTTGGACTCCTCCCAAAACCAAGTAGATCAACCGCAAATAACCGATAACTTGATTTTGCTAAGCTTGAGAAGTTTGGGAACAATGTTTCTGTCCAAAATAGTGATGATGAAATGAACCCGTGTATGAACAACACATCCTCTTGTGCTTCATCTACACAATTATTACATTCATAAGCTTTGTCATGTCATCGTTTGTTCAATTCCATCCATGAAGCAACTAATAAAACATAGTGAAGTGGTTAGTTGAAAAACATGTATATTTTTTGTACCTGTGGTGGGGCATTGGGCTTTTACAAACAGAGTGGCCTTGCTATTGCTATGGTGTGAGGGTGAAGAGGAGATCCAACTTGTGCATAGTTTGCAATCACAATCAGACCATCTTGGAATAGGATGCACTTCTTGCCTTCCAATTTTACCCTGGAGCATTTCCACAATGGTGTTGTTGACAGTGAAAGTGGAACAACGAGAGTTCCCTCTCTTGGATTGTAGAAGTGGCTCCTCCAACTTGAAGCGTTTAAACTCATTGAGGGTTAGCCTTGACACCTCAGACACCAAAGAAGGCCGAGAGTAAAGGGTATCAGAGATATCCTCCAACTGAAGCTTGGTTGAGCTAAGGGAAAAGATCTTGGATTCCCCACCTTGTTCAGAAACCAGGATCTTCCCACTGCTTGTGATTGCTTCCTTTGTGGAGGAACAATAGCAGGGTCTAAACTCTGCTTCGAACAACAAGTCCACAGCTTTGAAAACAAAACACAAGAGAAAATCAATGAGGTCCAGTGCACAAAAGGCAATGAAGCTCACTGCCTCATTCATAACTCTCCCACTCATTGTTACAACGGATCTAGTCTTGCCCATTACACCCATTTGCATGCAGACCAAACAAACAAAGAGAGGGAGTGCTAAGTGTGACAAGACTCACAACAGTGAACGAAAAATATGTATTAATAAGATGGTGATGATAATGATGATCTGAAAAGGTGATCATGTAAATATCCTAAATAGAGTAGAGTGGGCCGTTAGAAAGAACCAACGGCCAAATGAAATGTGGAGCCAATGATGGTGCTAAAATTTGCAGGGGCAACAAAATAGTAGGATATTAGCATATATGTTGAAGGTGGTGGTGGAGGCATGTACCCTTCGCCTTTTGTTTGATGAAAGCGTGTGGGATTGCCTATCTTAAATTAAAACTTCAACACAAAACCAGAGAGGCAGAGAGGTAGAGAGAGAGAGAACAGATATATGAATTGATTGTCATTAAACAGCATTTGTTGGCCAAGAAAAAAAAAGTAGTTGGTTGTTGAACCTCCCAGGGAAGAAACAATTTCCACTTCACCCAAATGTTCACCACTTTGCTATAGATGAAGCATAAACAATCCACCTTGTATATATAGAGAAGAATAAATTAGATTTGCCTAATTCTATGAAATAAGTCACTGTCTTGCCCATACGAAATTATCGGACACCATTTTTCCCACTTTGCTCACCCGCTTAGTGTTCACTGTTAAATTCTTAGTCATACAGTGTTACGAGAAAACAAGTCTCATGGCCATAATCATGCTCATGCTCATTCATGTGTACAACAATTAATAATTACCATATTGTTCAATTCGGACCAAACCTTTTGCATTTAATGCAATCTGGCTCCGCCACATGAGCTCCATGCCATTAGGTACCAATTTAACACCTCCTCAATCCCTCGTCAATCACAATGTTCAAGACTCTGTCAAACCCCATTTCACAACTTTAATATCAAACAAAACCTATATAACGTATCAATTACGTTTTTTAATTTATGCCTAATTGGTGTAATTTAAAGAATTTAGCTATGCACTAAAATATTGATTATATTGAGATATTAAGAGTCATGATAGTCAATATTTTAGTGCATAGCTAAATTCTTTAAATTACACCAATTTGGCACACACACACATATATATAATTAAGATCAAATCACACTAGGTATTAAAATAACATTTTTAATATTTTTTATTAAAATTAAATTTTCCACAACTTAAATGTTAATTAACATTTTATTCATTCATAATATTTAATATACGACATATTATTTAAAATATGAATAAATAATTGTTATTGAATTATTTATGAAGATCTAAATTTTATCACATAATATGCTTGATAATATTAAAAATTATTGATTAAATTAATATTTGATTTTAATAAAATAATTATTAACCATATGTTGTAATATAAAAAGTGCTACTTTTTATTAAAACAAACTGAAATAAAGTTTTAATAATTATTAAAAATATTGGGTTGTCATGGCCAATTAGTTCTTTCCGGCAGGCATTAAACTTAACAAATAAATAAGCCACGACCAATGACTTATTAGTCAATAGTAATGAATTTGAGTAACTGTTTTTAAATTTAGTAAAGATTTAAAAATATAAATAAAAATTTAATGTATAATTAATTTTGTTAACTTTTAAAAAGTTGAGTAAAATAAAAAAATTAAATTCCTAAAAAGTTATAGATAACTAAATTAAAAATATTTAAATTTAAAACTCAGTTGAAAATTCCAAACACAAGAAAAAAGTAATTATACATGATTAATTAAGATAATCCAATGACATAAAATAATGAGATGTTTGTATGTATTTTATATGTAATGAGTACTCTCTTCGCATTAACCTCTCACTCAAATCTTTTCATTACATTGAATTTGAGAAATTCTTGCAACTTTTACCGTACAAGCATTTAACGTGAAGAAATCATGTCCCTCTATTCAACCACGCTCATCGTATTCTCTTTATACTTACTCTGTTTTATTTATAAAATTAGTGTTTTGGGCATTCCTTATTTTTTTTATCTGCTTTACGTCTCTTTCTTTCAGCTCTCGAGATTTTGTGTTTGCAGACACTAATAAAATTGAGGAAAAAACGATTCCTTAATTTTAACCCTCTCAGAAATGGATTTAAATCCTATGACATCCATATTTGTTGGTGTGACACATCCTTATGCTATCCAACTCAAGCCACCCACCCATAAGATGTACTAATGACCCCAACCATGCACATATTAATTGCAAATAGTTAATAATGCCTTTTTTTCTTTTCTTTTGATGACTTTTATCCTACCATGACTTGGAGTTGCACCGTCAACAATAAGAAAAAAATATTGAGAAATTTTTCAATATACTCCTTTAAAGATTTACTAAGCAGACAATCAGACTATTAACTTAAGCTTTGAAGATTTTAAATTACTTTTGCATTAATTTTAATTTTTTTTTACCATTATACAATTCTGTATATCATTTTACTTAAAAATTTAATTTATTATTAAAATATATTTTTCACCAATTTTCTTATTTTAAAAGATCAATTTGATAATATTTTAAATTTTTAAGGAACTAATTAAATAATAAATTATAATTTTAAAAAACTAATTTGATGGTAAAATTCTTAAAGAACTGATATGATAATGATTTAGCATGTCTGGATGTAATATATTCACCCATCCAATGATTTAGCTTTTTATATTACTATTACTTTATTTGCCTTATATGCATTTGTGCTATTTTGATAACGTTTATTGTTAATTTATCTCAATCATCATCATCTTTAATTATATATATATAAAAGGGTAAGATTTTCTTACATTGGTGTAAGTTTAAAAATTTTTATTCCTAATTTGAGTCTTTTATTTAACTTAAATCTAACGAGTTATAATTTATTACTTTACTAGCCATTAGATGTAAATTAAATGAAAGGTTCAGATTAGGTGTAAGAGTTTTTAGACTCGTACTAGTATAAAAAGATCATTTTCCTATTTATAAACATAGTTAATGATATGTTAAAAGTCTCAATATGAAGTAAGTTATTAAAAGGACACACACACACACACACACACACACACATATATATATATATATATATATAATGATTTTTTATACCAGTATATCTCTAAAAACTCTTATACCTAATTTGAGTTTTTCATTTAACTTAAATTTAATGGGTTATAATTTATTACTTCACTAGTTATTAGATGTAAGTTAAATGAAAGATTCAAATTATGTGTAAGAAATTTTAGACTCACACTGGTGTAAAAAGATCCTTCTCCTATTTATAAATAAAGTTAATGATATGTTAAAAGTCTCAGTATGAAGTAAGTTATTAAAAGGACTAATATATTAAATCAAACTTTTAAAAAAATCAAGTTAAGCTTAATAAAATAACCTATAACAAATAATAAATCAAACTTAAACTTTAAAATTATTAAACAAATTAAATCTATTTATGCAAAATTTAGCATATTTTCATCCTTATTTGTATGCAACGTTGTTCTAAACACTCATTTAATAAATCAAATCTTCGTAGGACTCAATAATACTTTCATCTTCAAAAAACTAATTTGATACTTTTTTTTAGTAAATATTATATAAGTAGTAAGTATTTTTTAAAAAAATTTATTGAAATAAATTAGAAAAACTTACAAAATAAAAGTTATAAAAAAAATACTTTTAAATTAAATTATTAATTTATGATTTACTGCTTCAATCGTAATTGAATTAATAATAATTAAATATATATTTTTAATATTATATATTATATTTAATAATAAATTAATATAAACTTATAAAATAAAATAAATAAAATTTAAAATTAACATATCATATCACATAGTTTATAATATAAAATTTCATAATAAATAATTAATAATTGTAATTTATAAATAGATATCATATATGAATTTTTATTTATTTTAAAAAATATTTTAGAATTGAAAAATTTAAAAAATAAAACAAAAGTTCATTTGAACAAGCATCTCAAATTAAAAAAAATTTACGTCAGTTTTTACTAATTTTAGCCCGTTTGTGATCTATTTGACAAGTTTTTAACTGATTTTGCTCTCAAAATTTTGTAAACTGTCCAAACTAGTTGGTCTGATCCGAATTTTAAAACAGCAATTATACGTTAATTTTGTATAGAGATGTTATTTTAACCCATTTAGTTTTATGATAAAATTTATTGAACTTCCTACAAATGAAAGAGTTGATATCCTCTTTAAACATAGAACAATCATTGCTAATAATTTTATATTAATAAATAATGAAATTAATAGTTTAGTTGAAAAAGTTAATACTTTCTAATATTTAAGATACTAAAATTATAATTGTTAGTCTAAAAAGTATATAGAATATTTTTTGTTTAATTTACGGGACTCTTCAAATTTGACTGTTGTAAACAAAAGAATCATGTTACACACACATGATATGATTAGAAAAGTTTGATTTTAATTTTTTTAATAACACAAGTCATAAATGAAATGAAAATAACGTACTCTTAAACATATTATTTAATTATTGATTCAATATTCTTTACGAGGCCATTACTTACTTTGAAAAAATATTTACTTTTGATTGACAAGAAGAATTTATAATTCAAATACAGTGGTATATTAAGATGCTCAACTGGTACACCTTCCCCATTACACAAATTAAAACTGTGGTGACACAGAGAAAGCTCAACTACACAATATACCATTAAATAATAATCCACCAAATAGGGACCTTGAAACAACGACCCTGTTTTATCAGTATCAATTCAAGATCCTTACATCAACATTGATGTTACAATTCCATCTGGGCAAAAACTCAACGACCTATTGATGAGACAACTATTTTTTTTAATAAATTAATAGGGTGAAAATAATATGAATGCCAATAATACATTTATGAAACTCTTTTTTTAATATAAATTAAGATCCACTAAAGTTAATGAAACTCATTTTTTAATATGATTTTGTTGATAACGTTTTTTCAATTATCGTGTTGTCGTATTAACACACTTAGTTATTTTATTGATTTTTTATATTTATTTAGTTTAAATATACTTTTGTCTTTACTC